TCCTCCATTCCTCCATTCCTCCATTCCTCCATTCCTCCATTCCTCCATTCCTCCATTCCTCCATTCCTCCATTCCACCATTTCACCATTTCACCATTTCTCCATTTCACCATTTCTCCATTTCACCATTTCACCATTTCACCATTCCTAGGGTACCCCTAGGTTGGACGTTTCTGAAAACAACGACCTCAGACTGCCTGTATTTTTAGTCTTTGAACTTCTGGAAGTCCATTGTTAGTTTGCAAAGATTAAACACCCTTTCAAATCTTAAAATAATCAGAAAGAAAACAAACCTGTTTTATTGCTGATATTGATTGCGTGGCTGCCTTGCCTAATTTCAACTGTGTTGGGTAGGGCCAGGAGAAACGCACCAAACTAAGCCCTCAAAGGCATCTGGGACATAAGCAAAGATGGCGACTCTAGATGATGCCCTTTGCAATGTTCACCAACTTGCAACCATCAACATTCCCGATGAACAGCCTCAAATTGAAGCACCTCCTGCCTCGATTACTTACATTTCAAACTTTGACACAAACTTTGAGGATAGCAAGGCTTTCATTACATGTATCAGCAAGTATTTGGAAGAGGCGGATGTGCACAAGGGCTTGGTAGGTGTGACATTCATAGTTGATCATACCTCTGAAGAAAATAAATGAGTTAGCTTTTCGCGAAGATTAGTACATACACACGTTGTAATTGTATTGCTTGTCTTTTACAGTCCTGTTATCCATCGAAAAATGAATGATATCTTGGTAGTTTTGGAACTTGCTGGATTTTTCGAAAGCAAAATCGATCGCGAATAAAATTCATAAAGAGTTTTCAAAGCTAGGGAAGCAGACATGTAATGTTTAGAAAACTCTCTTTCTCGTGGTTGAGAAGAACTCAGTCATATATACATCTGAGTTTTGGTATTTGAACATAATTAAATATGGAACTTGTTAAGAAATTATCAAGCCTAAGCGTAATAAACAATGACAAATGACACTGACAAATCAGGGATCGATCGGGTTAAATTGTGTTCAGAATTGTTTGAGTTTTAAACATTGCGCTTTATTTTTGTTATTTATTCCTGATAGAATGAGATGCTTGAAGAAGGTGGAAGGTATGCAGTGATGTTGTACACATGGAGAAGCTGTTCACGTGCAGTTCCTTCGGTGAGATCTATTTGTGTGGTATCCAGTCGTTTAGCCCCAAAGTCCGGATTAACCGTTTAGCTCCTAAACCAGAAGTCAAAAAAAAAAAAAAAAAAAAAACTGTCTATTTCTCCTTTTTTTAAGGGTGAATGGAGGTATTTGACTTCTGGTTGGGGGCTAACTAGCTAGGGGCTACTTGACTTAATTGCAGGGTAACTGACTGGTTTACCGGTAACCATTTTTTGTTCCTCATTGATTTTTCTATACAGCATAATTGTTATGCTCAGAACGACAAAAATGATAAACATGGCTCTTTGTTTGAAAGGTTAAAAGTGATGACCAGCCAAACAGAATTGAAATCTACGAGAAGACGGTGGAAGTACTAGAACCAGAAGTGCGCAAATTGAAGAGCTTTATGCATTTCGCACAAAATGCTGTTGCTAGGTTCTGCAAGGAAGTGAAAACTCTGAGTCACCCAGAAAGAAGAAAAGATTTCATATCAGAAAGATATCTTTTGACTCTTGGAAAATTCATCAACATGTTTGCAGTGTTGGATGCGTTGAAAAATATGAAGGCATGCCTTAACAATGATTATGCTTTCTATAAGAGGTTAGTACAATAATTTGAGGTAAGGCTAGGTGTTTTATCTATTTCTGATTGCGTAACTTTGTTTAAATATTTTGTAGGTTATGGGCTTCCTGATTTTTCTGATGGATGGTAAAGAGAGCAACATTCTAAAGATGGATCAAAAGAAAAGGATCAGTATCAGCAAAATAGACAAGATATTCAAGGTAAATACTTAGTCTTTATTAATAATATCTCTCACTTCTCTCTAGCAATCACATGGACCTGCACTCAACATAGTTTGTGTGCAATCTCCATGTAATCAGGTTTGTTAAATTATATATCAAACCTCCCTTAAATGGACACTCACAAAGCCAGGAAATGTCTTCACTTTGGAGAAAATTTGTGTTTGTGTTTAACTTGGGTCATAACTGAGTATCTGCTTATGAGGAATGTCTGCATGGAGGAGCTGTGTCAACCCTAGAGGATCCACTGTATATTTAATAATTGACATGTAGCAGGATCAAAAGGTTTTAAATTCCTGTAACGGTAATGAACAGTGCCATATGAAAAGAACAAATTATGTAGAATAAGACAGTCAAGAAAATAGTTTTTTTTTTTTTTTTGCTTATTAGATTTTTTTTCTTTAAAGAATACTGGTAAAGAGGCTCTTATTCAGTAGAGTACAGATGAATGGAATATAATGGTTATTCTGTTGTAGGGTCATGAGGTATTATTTGAACAGGTTTCTGAAATAACAGGACATGTATTTTTGCACTTGTGACAGGGCCGGTTGAAGTAATTAGTGTGTACTTGTTTTCATTAATTTTGCATTTTGTCCATGACAGCAATTTCCAGTAGTGCCTCTGTTTGGAGATGTTCAAATTGCTCTGGTTAGTTACCTTAAGATGTGTCCGCACTTTGATGGCATGAAAGAGAAGTGGGCAGTAGCTGCAGAGGGAGCAGAAGACAAGGTGGTAGTTCAATACAATCTCCTTGGAAAGATGGACAGTATAAGAGAGGAGCATGTCAAGTTTATCAGTGAACTGGCTCGTTACAACAATGAGGTAAGAAGACGGGCATCCATGTCTTTAGGTGAGGCAATGCAGTCCTGAGAGTCGGTAATTAACAATTAGACC